TTGCATTTTACCCTGTGCGTTTTAAAATTGTGCGTTTCAGTGGTTAACGAGCTTGTTGAATCGTGATTGATATTAAAATTTAATTTAATTTTTTATTTTAACCGTCTGATTAAATATTTATGCTATATTTAATTCATAACCAGCGCTTCTTTTGTATATGTAATATTTGCTTTTATTTCAGGATGGTTACGCTTCGTTTCCTAACCTGTTTTTGAGGAGGAAGCACCTGGAAAGTTTGGAAGTATTGTTAAAGAAAGCTCCAACGGAAGATACGAAGGTTTTGGTCAAGGTTAGCACCAATGTTTTCAAATTTTGTTTCTTGTTACAAATGAAGGTTAACGATTTCTGTTGAAGTTTAAAATTTAGCATGGAAAATTTTTATTTCTATCGATTCAGTTTGAAATGTTTTATCTTCCGCGACCCGAAAGGAGAAATGGCGATGGAAGATTAAGATGTTTTATCGTAGTAATTTACATGCCCGCCCCTAAGACTGATTATTTTACCGGCAACCGGATCTGCTAGCCATGCTCTGACAGTTTTCATAGATAACATCGTGAAACAGTCATTTTTTCCTGACATCTGACATTTAAAAACTGCCGCTCAACCGCATTTGATATTTAAATTTATTTCCGCCAGCGAATTCAATCGAGATTCTGTTCGAGTTTTTCTTAGGTCATTTTTGCAGTATCTGTCCCGCCTGCGCATCCCGGCGCACATTCAAACGACTGCCTTTCTTGAGGAAATAATTACGCTAGGGTTTTAAAAGCTACGACTGTGGGTGATAGATCAACTAATATCATATTGTTATCCTTATTTAATGCCTCATTGATTATTCAATTTCGTGCAGTTGAGGAAAGCTTTATTCGCAATGCGTTTTATGAACGCTACGATGACAAATATAAGCCTTCATTTAGAATGCGTTTGCAGACGGATATGTCGCTGCTGGAGGTCTCACGAAGCGTTACGTAGGCGTCGCAACCGCGGTGTTGCTTCTTCCAATACTACTGGTGCTGGCCGTACTCTATGGACTTGTTGGCGATCGTAAGCTTAGACGATTATTATTGCAGTTCGAATTATGCTTGTATTATGCATTGGGTAATTATGCAATATATTAGGGATTCTGTCCACGTTTAGCCGCGAGGTAGTCCCGGAGGACGTCTCGGTAAACTTTGAAGACGTTAAAGGGGTAAACATATTTATTGGTTTTTTGGCTGTAATTAATTAATTCCCTGTATTTTGGTTCAAGATCGACGATGCTAAGAATGAGATGATCCGGATTGTCGAATTTCTGAAAGACCCTTCAAAATTTTCTCGACTTGGAGGCCGTCTCCCTAAGGGTATATAAGTTTTTGCTAGGTTCGTTTCATGCATTATTGTTACAATGTAAGCTAGGTGTTATACTTGTTGGTCCACCTGGTACAGGCAAGACCCTCCTGGCAAAGGCCATTGCTGGAGAGGCGGGAGTGGCGTTTTTTCGTGCGTCCGGCTCTGAATTTGAAGAAATGTTGGTTGGACTTGGCGCTAAGCGCGTTCGAGAGCTCTTCGGTAATTACTTTGCTTTTTTCTTAACTTGCAAATTTGGAAACATTGCAGGATTTCTTCTATAACAGTTCTCATTAGTATTTTTATTTTTTATTTCAATCTCATCATGAAATATGACATGAATGATATGAGCATCACCACTTCACCTCGAAACCTCTACCACTGGTTAGAGAGCTGTATTGCTCTTCTTAAATTCCCGGTTGTTTCTAGTAGAATCACCTTCTGCGGTTCATCCATCTTGATTATTGCTTCATCAATCGACTTCACTAAGCGCTGATTGGTCCATTTTCTCTGCCTCGGATTATTTCAGGAATGACTGTATTTACTCGCTAGCTCTTATGTGTTTCCATCCTCAGTTCTCGATATTTCTCTATCTTTTCGCTCTCCTTAGCAACATCGTTACCATCAGCCGGGTCTCCAACACATGTTTGGACGATGAACCTATATTTTTTTCTCTGTTCAAATGAGTAAGTCCCTGAGAATTTTTGCTTGCTAGTTAATTTCACCCCTTTCGGTTTGTTTCCTCTATTACTTCGCCACAGATAAGTCAGCTGTCTTGCACAATACCAGTAGATTATCCTTGCGACGTTTTTGTGCCGTTGCCTATATTCGTGATTGGTGAGCAGTTTTGACCCAAAAATTGTCACTAGAAAGACTAGCCGTAAATCGAACATCCGGATAAAAAAGTTCTTCTGCGGTCCGCCTTTGACAGGTTGACAATTCTGATGTTGTCCAAAATGCGATTGCTTAAGGACATTCTTTCAGTCAGACCAATGTGTCTGTTATAAACAAAGACCAATCTAAATTAGGTCTGCTGATAAAAGAGTTCTTGTGCATACTGCCAATGCAAAACCAGATATGCAACGAATACACATCTTCTGTTGTTATCAATGAATGCTTTGGTGCAGTCACAAAACTGATACGCAAAACCAGGTCAAAATGACAAAGATACGATTTAGTTTGATGTGAACATTGTACTTTGTTCAGACAGTTTAACAACGTCTTTGACTGTGTGATGAGTCAGCTTAAAATTGGCATTGTTCGCTTATTGGATATAAATGCCTTCAAGCAGTCATTTATATTCAGTACAGCCCTGATGATGCTGCGGTCTGTACAGTGAAACGCATTGGCATTGAACTGTTTACCATCTGCTGTATTTGGTACCCTGAATCATAAATCATTCAAACAACTATCTGTATAACTATGGGCACAAAATCAGAAACCTGAAGAATTACTTATTGAAATGCTTATTGCTGTAATCAGTCCTGTTTGGTTCTTATAAATGTTGCTCTATGTTGGACCCTGCTGTTGTTGTCTCTTTCTGATCCTAGAAAGAATTATCCAAGATCTCGATCTTTTGGCACAGTCTTATTTGTTTCGGTTTTCCTACCGCGGGATCATAAAATTTGCTGTTGATGGTTTATGGAAGTCCATGTTGTTCAAACATGATCCCTTTAAACGCAAACAGTGTAGCTTTGATGATAAACGCTGATGCGCAGACTTCGTCATTCAGTTTTAACATTTTAGCTGCTGCAAGGCTCAGAGCACCCTGTGTAGTATTCATCGATGAAATCGATACCATCGGTTCTAAAAGAGTCAGCTCTTCGATTTATCCATATGCAAATCAGACGATAAACCAGCTTCTGAACGAAATGGATGGCTTTCAAAGCACTGAAGGCGTGATTGTTTTGGCAGCTACTAATCGACGCGAAGATCTTGATCCGTATGCCTTCGTGTTTCACATGCTTTCTACCTACTATGATCTGAATTTAGGGCACTGATGCGGCCTGGAAGGTTCGATGTCGAGGTCAAAGTTGGTTATCCGGATTCAAAAGGGCGCGTTGAAATATTCAAACTTTATTTGAGCAAAATAAAGGTTAATCCAGATATCGATATAGAGCTTCTTGCAAGGTGGACCACCGGATTCACTGGTACTAGCAAAAGGTGCATACTCGCGTTCCTTATTGTTTGGTTTTATCAGGCGCAGACATTGAAAACATGGTTAACCAGGCGGCGTTGATGGCCGCCGCAGATGACAGGTCTGACGTGAACATGCAGTACATGGAAAGTGCCCGCGATTTTGTCTTGATGGGTTCGTTTCGTTATTTGTTTTATTTTTTTTAATTTAGTTTTTAGGTCCTGGTGGTAAAAAGCGAGTACCGGACGAGTACGCAAATCGCATCACCGCCTACCATGAAGCGGGCCACACAGTCGTATCGTATTTTACAAAAAACAGCGTGCCGTTGCATCGTGTAACCATTCTTCCTCACGGGCCTTCACTTGGCCATGTAATCTTTGGCACTTGACTGTTTGTTTTCAGTTTTAGCATTTTCAGATGCCTGAGTAATGTGTAAACGTAATTGCGATGTCCATGCATACATTTTTCTTCACTAGCCTTAGAAGTAATCAGTAAATCTGCTCCCAGTGAGGAATATATTTTTTCTCATTGTTTGTCTTCAGTAAAGCCTGAGCTAATGTACTTTAGTGTGACATAGGTTTGTATTTTTTCCTCAACTTGTCTTAATGCACTGCAGAACAAAGTTCTCCAGTTCTTATTGCTATCTTTTATAATTTTCTGATTTTGGCTTGCGAAGTTCGCCGGTATTTTATTGTACAGTTTCTCTTAGTTTCCTTGTGAGTTGATAAGGCGGAAAGCGTGATTTTGGGATGGAGAAATGTTTTATTTAAGTGGAACACACTCGCAGTGTGCCGGTTGTGAGCCTCGTGACCTGAGCTGTTAATGACTTTCATTGAACTCAATCCTTAGCATGCCCTGATTCTAGGACCGATATGACTAGACTATAAGAAATTTTCTTCCATGAAACAGCTATAATGCGTATTGTAGAACTGAAGAGATTATCTCAGGGCTTTGGTACAAGATAGCAGTAATTTCTAATCCACTGTTGTCTTAGCGCAAAGCCAAATCCTTGTTGTGTTGTAACCTGGAATGTTTCGTCTGCAACTAAGTTACTTATTTCATCCTTTTACAACGTTAGGGACCGTAGCAAATTCACTATAATGTTGCTATTGTTGATTCCGGTAGTTCTCTCTGTGTATCTGAGAAGGCTGAAACTTCCTATTTTAGGTAGGTCAGTGGAGTTTTACTCTCTTCCTAATCTGTTCTTGCCATTCGCTTTTTAATTATGTTTTCTAACCAGTCTAGCATCTTTATTCAGAGTCGAGATCTGGTTTTTGATGATTTAGACCGCGTATATGCCAGAAAAGGACCAGTACCACGTGAGCAAAGAACAGATCTTGGCAACGTTGGACACGCTTATGGGAGGTAGAGCCGCAGAGGACATCGTTTTTGGTGCGGACAAAATCACAACCGGTTCAGCGGACGATTTGAGGAAGGCTACCGCTATCGCCACTGAAATGGTCAAACAGTACGGAATGTCAGAAAAGGTATGAAAGGTCATTCGAGCAGAGGGCGCGCCTAATGTTTGTTGAATCAAGGTTTCCTTCAACAGCGTCTTGTATCGTTGTGCGTAAGGAAATTGGTCATCACTAGAGGAGAAGTATCATTCTCTGTATGGAGGTAGCAGTAGACTGCACCCTGTGTTTACCACATGATTGCAAATATTATCTTTAGGACTAGGCACACACAGATTGATAACTCAAAGTTGAAATCGACCTACATCGTAAGCTTTAAAAAGGCGGCATGTGCCATGACCATCATAAAAGAGCATGAAGATAACCATCCCAACCGTTAGAAACTTTTTTTACATTTAACATGAAGAACGTCTTAGAAAGTTTTTTCACAAGGTTTTAAAATCAATTACTTTGTCCACATCGAAGTGAGGAATCTTGCGTCGCCACTGATTAATGGTGCTCGACATGATAGCTTTTTTATTAGAGACGCCGTGGTACCGATCTTCCGGTCTTCTCATGTGTCTCACTACATAAATATGGGCAGTAGATGATTTTCTGTTCACAGTCAGAACCGAGTTTAACACTCCTGTTTATGAATTGATTCAGTGTTATACGATCAGCAACATAACAGTAGCGCGTTTACGAAATGGGTGTTGTTTATCAGCATTATTACAACTGTTACTGTTAGCCTTACGAACGCATAGTGCACTAGGAAACTTGCATTACTCCATTTTAGGTGAAGAAAAACTTTTAAGCAGCTTGAGAATGACCGTGAACTCCGTTTTGTTGTGCATAGCTTCATTATGGTCCTCATAGACTTATTGTTTATGATTTTTCCCTTCCGTATATAAGTTGTGTATATGTGCTATAATGATAACGACTGTTGTTTTCAGTGTTATCTGGAAGATCAAGGTCAAAGACAGAATTTAATGACGCAGTCGTTGTCTGACAACAGTCGTTAAAAATTGTCAATAATTTATAGAAGCTAAGTTCTTACAAACCTTCTTTGTAGAACATGGTAAAAATGGTAGTGTTTGAATAAACGGATTATCACCTTTTAGGTATAGAATTCATTAAAGGTCTCCTTGAGACTGCTGATAACTCAACCTTGCACGTGGTCCGTTTTTGCCATTCATTTTCATATAGTTTAATGGGCTGTACTTTCCACCATGCTCTTTTTTGTACCTGGGGGAAGGATTGTACGGATCTCAAATTTATAGGTACAGTTTTGAAATTAATTTGTTTCAAATAGTAATTATACAAAAATTCCTAAACAGTTCTTGCTTTCTGTATTTATGAGCGGGTAGAAAAATGTTTTTTACTTTTTAGGTTGGTCTGCGGGTCTTTCCAGATTCGGAGGGTTTTGCCCTTCAGCAGTCGCTGGAAAGGGGTGCAAGTACAAACGAAGAGATAGATTCTGAGATAAAGAAGATATTACAGGTATGGTATAAGACTGACTTAAATGGTGTTGAAAATCGTTAAAGGGTTCAGCGCGATGTCACTTACTCACTGTACTTGTGCCGTTGCAAATAATACAATAAATCGAATAAACAGTTTGCATGTATCTTCTGAAATTCATAGCCAATTCCATGGCAGAATTGGAAGTCAGAATTGTTCACAGCACATCGTCCGATCTATAACCTGGGATGACATCAAAACTTATGGCACACGTTACAGACGAGCATGTTTGCATCGACGAACACAATAACCTTTCGAACCAGCGCTTTTTAGCAACGCCCTATATTGCCACAGTAAGATGTTCAGTTCCTCTCAGCGATTCAGTTGATCTTCAGTGCTGTAGAGGAGCTGATCCAGTCGTCAACGGTCTGAAAATTTACGAACTGCAAGCCACTGGAGCAAGGCATGTATGAATGTGTAGCAAGGCACACACTGAACAGAGTGTTTTTTCTTGATCATTCCTTTGCATATAGCTGCTCATTA